ATGTTTTTAACAAAACGTCATTTTGAGATTATGAATAATAAATTATAAAAACAAAAATTTAAGCATAAATTAACTTTTTGTATTATTAATCATAAGCTGACTCACATGGCTGACATAGTACGCATTACTACATCATTTTGTAATCAAAACATGATTAAAAATCATAAAAATAACCCTTGAACAGAAAAATTACCACCGATAATGGTTAACATATTTGGAACCTGCGAAAAGTATCATAACAATAACAAACTGTTCGTTAAAAAGCCCTACAAAAAATTTTAAATTTTTTAAAATTTTAAACTCTAAATCTATATAAAAATATACTCTAAGTTTAATTTTAAGCTCCCAGATCCCAAAACTTTGTTCTGACTCATCTTCCGTTTTTTAGACTTTATATTCAATTTAAAAAAGATTAGTAGAAAACCCTACCTCTCTCGCCGTAACCCTTACTCAACCCTTCAACTCCACAATACAAAAACAGGCTCCCACGAATTTCCCCCTTGAAAAACCGAAATTCAAACAAAATGAGTCACTTCCCTCCCTTCAGCAAAGTCCAAAAATAAAATCAAGCTTGAACTTGGGAGTAAACATAGGGTGTGGTAAAATGATACCTTTTTTGAGGAAAATGGACATAAGGAGGAGTGGAGTGGACATGAGTTGAACAATTAAAGACTGTAATGTTGAAAATTGTAGAAAATCAAAATGGTCAAAACTTAAATAAGTTATAGTACCATATTAATTATAATAACAAAAAATACAGTGGTGAAAACCTTTAAAAACTTCTATAATATAAAACTTGTTTAGCTGACCTCCTTCACTGATATTACTGTCAAAAAAACTCAGTAAAAGAAACATTTGGCATAGTAAACACATAATGGCATTTACGTTTAGTTGCCTTTACCAACCCAGCAGTACATTAGATTATAAGTGTCATAATGAATCAAAAACCTATAAAAAGGTGTTTTTTGTAAAAACAGGTTAATATCACAGACTGAATAGACAAGTTTAATATCACATAGCTTGTTTTTATGTTAAAAAATATTTATAACTATTACGATACATTCCTTATTTTTTTATTTAAAATTGAACTTCAGGATATAAATTAAAAAAAAAGATCCACCCCTCTAGAAACCAAACTACATAAGCTACCCTTATAAATCAGCCGACCCTAAATAAACCTAAAAAGGTACCCATTAGGTGATCCATTTAAAGGTCTGCCCCCAACCCAATCTCAACCTGAGAAACGCTCATCTTATCGTCTATCAATACCCTTCCTTCCCTCTATAAAATCACAAAAAACAACCCCACCCAACTCCACTCACCGCCTAATATACCACAATAACCTCATATCTTCTGACAATGCGATAATGGGATCAGAGCTGATTCCATTATCGTCTAATAATAGTATCTTGGTATTATGTTTTAGTGTTATCAATAAAAAGAAGAGAAACCGATTCAACGATTCGTAGTCCCGCCTGATGACACATCCTCAACATACGATCCAATATTTATAATTCTCATTATGTACGAAAACATAAAAACCAACTATAATATTTTTAAACCTGTTGTCGACATATATATAAAGTAGTGTTGAAAAAGTCTTGTCGTTTTTTACAATGAAACTTAATGTAAATAGACGACAAGACTTTTTTTATGACCTGATATTTTGTATATACGTAAATATTAGATCGCTCAAATAATTCTGTGCCCCCCTAACCCCCAAAAAATTTCTTTCATAAAAGAAACAGAATTATATGAACAACCCATATATTAAGTGTATTTTATAAAATATTTTAAAAAATTAAAAATTCATATTATGTACAAAAAACATTTGTGAAATGGCTTTCAAAAACAGCTTATAAATAATTTTTAAAGTTTCAAAAAAGCTTTTTAAAAGTCGCTGGACATTAATATGCATAAGGTGAGAATAGGGGCTGCTATCGATAGTATTATGATATTATATTATCTAATTTTTGGTCTTTATTATAGTATTTTATATATATATAAATTGGTCAGTCAATTTTAATGTATCAAAATTTTAAAAAATCGAAAAAATATTTATATTCTTCATAATTATAAAAAATAGCCAAAAAAACTCTTAGCGCCATTCTTTTTGCATCAAAATGAAAATACGCCATTGTTTTTGGATCAACCGTAAAACGCGCCATTCTTTTCGCATCAACTAAAAAACGCGCCATTCTTTTTGCATCACCTGTAGAGCAGATTAAAGAGTTTTTTTAGAAAAATAAATTTGGTAATTTCAGAATTAATTCATTTTTTTTCAAACCACAAAACCACCAAATTCCAGCCGTTTCCCTCTAATTTCCTCGCCCTTTCCTTCAGCTTAAAGTTGTAATCACAAGAACAACTAATAAAACAATAAGCCCTCTCCCCCTCCCAAACAATAGCGCTTTGAAAGTTTTGTACAAAAGAGTACAACAATACAATAACTTTGTAATAATAAGCGCTTTCCGCGTTTTGCGCAATCGACCTGTTGTGGCCAAAGGTCCGGCCAGAAGGGAGAGGAGGGAGCGTGCGGGCGGGGTAGAGCCGGCTGGAGTGGTGATCAAATAAACGCCGCCAAAGCGACAAAACTGATATAAACACAAGGCTATTTTAAAACAAAAGAAACTTGGGGTTGTGGCAGAGCGGGTGGGGTAACAAAAAAATTTTTAAAAATCTACCCCACCAAAAAAATTTTTTTTGGAAAAAAATTGAACGTGGCTCTCTGTTGAATACTGAAACAAAAATTTTAAAAATTCATAGGAGAATTAAAAAACTTGTTTACTCCTCCCCCGGGTAGAAATTACTCGCTTGTCGTTTTTAGCCAAATATTTACTGCTTAAAAAACGACAAGACTTTTACAAACCTCAATAAAAGTTAAAAAACCCACTATACCTTAAACGTCGTTTTATTACATCTCTTTGTTAACTATAAATAAAGTATTTAACTCAGCCTCCCATTTCCACCGTTCTTGTTAGAACGTTCTTGAAACTTGTAATGTTCCTTGTAGAAGACTCATTACTGGCTTCAAGGTCAGACATCGCAAAAAAAGAGAACTAGGTCTCCAAAACATTGTTGTATAAGAACAAATTGTCGTATGTTTTTTAAAATAGATCTATGTCAACTTAAAGGTACCTTAAAATAAAAGATTTTTGGTAATTTAGGTAATAAAACAAATATATCAATAATCAAGTTTATTTTTAATCACCATACCCCTTCTCCGACCACCAACATCACTTTGTCACCAAGCTACGCTGATTTGAACTGTTTTCATGACTTTTTGCATACGAAAGTAAAAACAGCTTTGTTATGAATAATATAGTGGAAATCGTAAAAGCGGTAGGTTACTTTGTAAAAGCGCAGTAAATCCTAAACGTATGTGAAGGATGATATATCCGAAATGTGTTCAAAGAATGCTAAACTTAAACTTTATGGAGGGGTGTTGATCTATGAAAGGATATTACTTCAACAAATAATACTACTTTATGAAAGAATAGTAAACTAGATGGAAATATCAGAAAAACGATTTCTTGATCTGTGATTCATACCAACAATGTGGTATTACACAGTTATGTCGACCTTTAGTCATGTGCGGATATTTAGTTTAATAATGACGAAAATGTACTTAAAATGCTATTTAAATGCCTATAGCAATGTAATATCACTCAAAAATTTAAAGAATTTTAAAAAATTTTGTGGAAAAATTACTATAAAAATCAACTACAATATAATAAGATTAAAATAAAATTAAAAAACCTTCAAATATAATCAAATAGACCTCATTCAACCCGCAATAAACCAACTTACACATGAGCTTGCATCTTAAGCAAATAAAGCTATAAACAAACATTAAGGAACTTGTAATCAGACCACAGAATTAGACTCGCTATCGTTTACCAACATATATATTAGTAAATTAAAAAGATACATCTAAAAAAACTTTTTTGATTTCTGACTTCGCATTGCTCTTTTCCCTCTGATCTAAAAAATTACCCCGCCCAGAAACTCCCTAACATTTTCAAGTTCAAAAAAGAGAGGTTTAAAGTATATTATAAGAAAACCGGTACAAAAGCGATTAATTTTGGTAGATTTATTGGAGGATTTCACAATAAAACCAGGTCATTTGGATGGAACCCAACCCCCCTTGAGTACAAACAATACAAAAGTTCTTCCTCCTCGCTCTCGTTATTCTTGAAATTAAATCCGATTTCGCTGAAAAAAACGTTTTTTCGTACGATCTACGAAAAAGCAGCTCATCATGAAGTCATTTTTGAACTTTGAAAATTTTTGTAAAATTAAGAACTATTTATCAGTTTCTTTAATAAACAGTTAAAAATAAGATTGCTTCAAAAACAATGACACAGTTTTGGTAAACTTCAAAATTACAAGAAAATTATCAAAAACCAAATCAGTTTTAAAACAAAAAAAAAGAAATTTTGCTTGAATTTAAATATCTGTAAAAATGTTCTTTATTTATTAAAATAAATCCTTCTAAAGTAATTTGCATAAATTTTGACAGCGACATTAACACATCACAGAAGATACCGTATTTTATGGCGGATGCGTAAGGTTACTGTACAACACTTAGAACCGAAGGCTATGGCTTCTTATAGTAATCAAAACAGTAAAATGCTCTTTACAACTCCATAAAGCTTACTTTTGCGTTTACTTTTTAAAAGTAAGCAAAGCAAAAACAAAAAAGTAAAATAACTTAATAAATGGTTACCAACCCACCCCCCCCCCTACCTTACTATAAAAAGAGTGGCATAGACACGAGAAACCGTTAAAGATATGGTGTATATACCTGAATGTACTGTAGTAAACAAAGCACAACGTAAAAAATTAACCTCATTTATTAACAACAAGAATCTATGCATTGTTTCAACAATAACATCAACAAATTACAATTTTGTATTATGCCTCAAAATTACCATGAAATAACTAACCATGGCTAACACAACAACTGTGCTGTTAACGAGATGGTTTCCTTTGCACATTCATAAATCGAGATCATAGTCGTCAACCTTCTTGGCCTTTTTCTTCTTTTTCTTTTTCGACTTCGGAGTTTCGCCTTCTGCAGCCTCGGCTTTATCTACATCGGCTTTTTCAACCTTATCTTTAACTGGAGAAGCCTGTTGGTCGTGAATACCCGTCCAAAAAGTTTCCACGTTCATCTGAAATTTAAAATTATTAAACGAAACAACTAATATCTACGCTTTCAAAACAACAAGAGATATCGTCTAAAAATTTAAAAATATTTAAATGTTACCTAAAAGCCTAAAAAAGCAGAAAATACAAAATAATTACCAAACAATCGTAAAAATATTACCTAAACTTCATAAAATAACAAAACTCTTAGCTTACATCATGTAGATCATCAACAACTCGCTTCATGTTTGCCATTCTAGAGTTAATCCCCTTCAAACTTGCAAATATCGGCTGTGTAACATTACTCATAATGTCTCTGACTTCACCAAACTCACCAACATCTTGTTTTACGTAGATGCCATATCTTTCTTTATAGCCATTCGCGACCACAAACTCGTGACACTTCCTCTTATCATGACTTCTAAATGCCATGTTTCTGAAGGGCACGTCACCATGTTTGAAAGATCTAAAAATAAACTTTTTTTAACGCTTGGCTTTAAAATACAAATATTTAAAAGATTACTACCTAAATTACACAATATTAAAAAAACCTTTCTAACATAAGACTTCACAATAATTATTATCTTCTCCAGGTTAGAACCATAAACCATTTAATCCTCTAACAAATACCATATTAAAACTTCAAGTAAACATTTGTTGCCTAAAAACCAAACAAAAAGAGAAATAACTTACAATATACACCGTTTGTGACCAATTCCGTCAGAGCTTTTGAGTTCTTGTATTGGTATCTTTGAGCGAGCGATCGCAGTAATCTCACAACCAACAAGTTCAGCAGAACTGTTTTTGATTATTTTGACTGTTTCATCGTTGTCTTCTATCACCAGCCATAGATCCAAAATGTCTAAAATAAGAAATCTTAGTTGAAACAGCTGAAATTAAAATTAAATATATATGAATATTGTTATATCTATCCAAAAAATATTTGAATTAACCTCAAACGTCAAAAAAACTATCGATGTCTGACCAAAAATATAATAATAATAGCTTTCTTTCGAAGAAACATTGATAACATCTTTCTTTGCCATTTTCCGTAAATTTTACTAAAAAATAACGTCAAAAACACGTTAATATAATAATAAAATCTATAAAAACAATCTTAAAACACAAATATTCATATAAGTCTGCCAACAAACCTTTCAAATTCAGGTTTTCCAGCTCAATATCCTGGCTGAAAAAGTTCAAAGCCAGTTCATTCGGCAAAACTTTAAAACCTTCCAACAGTGATCTGCATGCCATCGTGGGAATGTAACATGAATATGCAATAAATTAAATATAAACTCTAGAAAAGGTTAAAGCTTTAGCTAAAGGTATATAAACATCAAAATTTAGACCAAAATAGAAATATTTTCCGAATAAAATACTTCTGATTTTTTGACACTTCGTCGTGATTTCCGATAGAATCCTTTGAGATTCGTCCGATTGAAAAGAACGCCTAGGGGTGAGAAAAGGGCCGGGCCCACTTTTTAGGCCCGTCCCGTTTTCAACTTTCTCTCAGGCCGGCCCGGCCCGGTCAGAAAATTTCTAGGCCCGGCTCGTTTTAAAAATTTTAAAACTTAAAAAATAAACGGAAATTTGGCTTTGCATTGTTCTTTTATGTATCATGGTACCCAATAAAATCAAAAAACATCAACGGGGATTAAAATAAAAAATTTTTTTTTCGGGCCCGGGCCCAATTTTCAAGCCCGGCCCGTTTCAATTTTAGCTCAAGGCCGGCCCGATCGTAGGGCCGGGCCGGGCCTAGACGGCCCGTTTCTCACCCCTAAGAACGCCAAGCTTCAATAATCTGTAGCGCTATAAATACGCAGAAACGTTTTAGGTTACGTTTGATAAAAAAAAATGATTTATACAGCATAAACAAACAAGATCAAATATAATATTATGTATAAATATTAACAAGCCAATACAACAATCATAACAATATAAAGTTAGACGAATGGAGACCATCCAAAGTACATTTGCGACAAAGATTCCTCGTCCATTGCCATTTCCATCAACTTCGACACCAACACTCGTTCATCATTGATAGGGCCAATCTTTGGCTGAATCGTGGTATGTAGGTATCCATCTAGTCGATCTCTGACCAGCTCGATCCGGTCTTGCACACTGATATTGTTGTTGCTGGATCGTCTGGCATAGCTGGAGTGGTCGTTGTCTTCGTCGATTCTCCAGTCGATTAGCGGGTCGTAGATGAAGCTTTTTAGCACTCTTAAGATGGCAGGTTTTTCTGATTTCAAAAACTTGATAATTCTTTCAAACGCGCATCTGAAGCGACCTTCTACACCAGTTGGGCCGAAGCCGTCCACCACGTTTCTGGTTAGTCGGAAAGGTACAATCTGCAAAATATTTATATTATTCAAGGTGAAATAAGTTTGCAAAATAGTAGTGTATTAAATTCAAGACGTCTTTACCTCCGGCACAGTAAGCATCTCTCCACTGTTGAACAGCAAGTTAAAGTCCACGTGCATCACATCACCATTCGTGCCATCGACCAGTATATTACCCAGATGGCGATCTCCCAAGCCAACAATATGACCCAAAGCTGACATTGCGGCTGTAGTTACCGTGTAATTACGTTGCTTTTCGTAGTAAGCCGATGGGTTTAATGAAGTCTTCCTCAGGTAAAGTCCCATCTCGGTTTGGAAGAGAGGGATCAGCTTCTGCATGTAGATACTGTGCAATTCTTGCTTTTTAAAACGCTGAAATTTGAAAATATAAATGTATGTCATATACAGGGTGTTCATTTATAAATGCCACTTTTTGAGAACTTGTTTCTCGGCGGTTTTTAGAGATATTGCAAAAATTTTTTTTTGCACTGCACTTTTAAAAATAGGCCATTTTTGGCTTGCTAATTGGTTTTTTTCGAATTCGGCGAACGATCGGCGGACCTCGGCGGAGGCTGAAAATTGGCCAATAGGTTCTCGAATATTGATTTTTGTGGTCGATTTTGTCGTATGAACAAAAGAAATAAACAAAATTGCAAAAAAAAAATTTTTTTCTCCGCGTCGGCGGACTCATGGATGTTTTCGGCGAAGGCGATAACTTCGTTCATTTTTAACCGATTTTTTTCAAACCAAAAACAAGTTATTCATAATCCTATGGGCTACAAAAATACCAACTTTTGAAAAATTTGCAATTTTTTTAAAAAAATTCGGCGGAGAGACGCTTTTTTCGGCGGAGGCCATAACTCGTTTCATCCTTGATATTTTTTTCTCAAACAAAAACTAGACTATTTATATTTTAAAGGGCTGCAAGAATGCCAATTTTCGTAGAATTCGCTTTTTTAAACAAAATTCGGCGGAGAGAGGTCTCTTCGGCGGAGGCCATAACTCGATCCGTTCTTGATATTTTTTTCTCCAAACAAAAAACCAGACTATTCGGAATTTAAAGAGCTTCAAAAGAGCTGACTGTTGTAAAGATTGCCACCTTGAGAAAAAATCGGCGGAGAGAGGTTTCTTCGGCGGAGGCCATAACTCGTTTCGTTTTTAATATTTTTTATTCAACCAAAAATCAGATTATTTAAAACTTAAAAAACTACAACAAAACTATTTTTTGAGAAATTTGTTTATTTTTTTTGAAAAATGATATTTTAAAAAATTTTTTGTTAAAAAACAATGTGTAAAAAATACAACTATTTGAACAACCTTTTTAATCATAATAATCTGTTTTTAGTTTGAAAAAAAATCTATCAAAAACGAAACAAGTTCTGGCCTCTGCCGAAGAGACGTCACTCCGCCGAATTTTGCCTAAAAAAAGCAAATTTTACAAAAATTGGCATTATTGCAGCCCTTTAAAATCTGAATAGTCTAGTTTTTGTTTGAGAAAAAAATGTCAAGAACGAAACGAGTTATGTCCTCCGCCGGAGAGACCTCTCTCCGCCGATTTTTTCTCAAGGTGGCAATCTTTACAAAAGTCAGCCCTTTTGAAGCTTTTTAAATTCCGAATAGTCTGGTTTTTGTTTGGAGAAAAAATATCAAGAACGGATCGAGTTATGGCCTCCGCCGAAGAGACCTCTCTCCGCCGAATTTTGCCTAAAAAAGCGAATTCTACAAAAATTGGCATTCTTGCAGCCCTTTAAAATATAAATAGTCTAGTTTTTGTTTGAGAAAAAAATGTCAAGAACGAAACGAGTTATGTCCTCCGCCGGAGAGACCTCTCTCCGCCGAATTTTGCCTAAAAAAGCGAATTCTACGAAAATTGGCATTCTTGCAGCCCTTTAAAATATAAATAGTCTAGTTTTTGTTTGAGAAAAAATATCAAGGATGAAACGAGTTATGGCCTCCGCCGAAAAAGCGCCTCTCCGCCGAATTTTTTTAAAAATTGCAAATTTTTCTAAAGTTGGTTTTTTTGGTAGCCCATAGGATTATGAATAATTTGTCTTTGGTTTGAAAAAAATCGGTTAAAAATGAACGAAGTTATCGCTTCGCCGAAAACATCCATGAGTCCGCCGACGCGAAGAAAAAATTTTTTTTTGCAATTTTGTTTATTTCTTTTGTTCATACGACAAAATCGACCACAAAAATCAATATTCGAGAACCTATTGGCCAATTTTCAGCCTCCGCCGAGGTCCGCCGATCGTTCGCCGAATTCGAAAAAAAACCAATTAGCAAGCCAAAAATGGCCTATTTTTTAAAAGTGCAGTGCAAAAAAAAATTTTTGCAATATCTCTAAAAACCGCCGAGAAACAAGTTCTCAAAAAGTGGCATTTATAAATGAACACCCTGTATACATAGGCATACATACTTTAAAAAATAAAAAATTATCGTGTTTGCTTTTAATTTAAGTCTACAACCACCTTTTTTAACATTATGTTAGGTTTTTAGCCTTTTTTGATATTAGTTTAAATTTAACATGCTTCTAACTACTCTCTGTCCAAATTTTAACTAAAAATCTTACATTTTTGGTTATAGAATCTCGTATTTTCAACAATAAATCCCTGTTTTTACAATTTCCATTTCGAATACAATTATTTAGCGTGTCCATGTGTGGTACCCATTCGATTATACCACCAGTTTCCTCCAATGGTATCACGTGGTATGTCCGGATACGATAGTCTCTGTTCCTGGTGTATCGACTGGTCTGCATTTTTCGGTTCAACATCTGCAATTCATTGTTTTATATGAATATTGTAACTACGAATTGAAAAAATTTTAAAAATTTTAAATCCGTAAAATTTCGATGAATTCTGAGTAAATTTAAAAGTTCAAAAATTAAAAATCCTAAAACTTCCGTTTCAAGTAATACTTACTGAAGCCAGCTCCAAGAACCTCATATCCTTTCGCAATTCATCAGTCGGTTTGCAAAGGATAATATACTTTTCTCCATCCGATCCAATCAAAGTCAGTCGTTTTGGCCGAGCAAGAGAGTTGATTACCTAAACCAACATATTTTCGTTTTTAATTTTATATATTAACCTTTAAACAAAATATTATAGCCTTAAATTACCATTAACCTTAATTTACGCTAGCCTCAGCAAGGTACAAAGCTCTAAATCAGTCAACAGTACCCCTATTCTCTAGCCTCCCCACCTCAACCCACTACATTACAATATTACATATAAACTCTAAAGTAGAACCGCAAACTCCGTAAATCTTACATTGCACTCATTGACAACTTTGTGAATAAACACTGTACCCTTGGGTACTTCTTTGAACGGCTCATCCAAATACTTGAAGAACATTGGCACTGAAGGTGGAGAAGGCCTTTTACCAAGCGGCAGAGGTTGTCTATGACCAGTGTGAATGAAACTGACAAATTCAGAAAAGTTGATCTGCATGTCCATCACGTCGGAATTCACCTTGATTGACGATATTCTAAAAAATTGTAAAAAACCAATTTAAAACGTCATTGTGATAACTTTCTGATTTTTGGTATTGGTGTCGCTAGCATGGTAAAATCAGCACCAAGAAAATAATATTACACTTTAAACTGTTTTAAATTCAAGGAAAGACTTACTTGCTCAAATTATCAGCCAAGAATTTGTACATTTCGATCAGAGGTTTAACACGCCTTTCGCTCCGTTTAACTTCATCCAAGACTCTCGACATTGCTGCTGCTCGGTCGCCAACTAAATTTCACAATATGTATATTAAACAACAAACAATTTTAAAAAATCCCTAGAATTAAAAAAGTATCAAGAAACTCTTGTGGTCAATACCTCTACAGTAACATACTTAGTAAACCCATTGACAACAAACTCTCACATTACCAAACTTCAACTATGATAATAACCTACACTTCTTAGTAGAACACCTAGCCTCTCCCATTGCTAACAAAGCACAATGATGTGGGTATTCAACCAGTAGTGACTTCATAATGTGTTTGATCACTTCTGCATCAACTCGTTCAGCTTTTGACAATCTTGTAGCCAATAATGAGAACACTATGTAAAACTTTGTTGACGACAACTCGTTAAAAGCTTGCAGAACTAGAGAATGGGGCTCTGCTGTAGTCTCTGTCACAAAACTCTTGGCTGACTCGTGAAGAGATTGAGCTGACTAAAACAAGGTTACTATAGCTTTACGTTAAGGTAGAGTTAACAAAGTATAATAAGCCGTAACTTAAAAAGAAGTTACTTACACTTCCTTTTTGCCCATCAAGTTTCTTCTGCCAATTCAATTCTCTAGCGGTGTCCAGCCATGCTGTGATCATTCTTGGCATAACATCGTACTGATACGTATCACCACGCTTCATTGTTTCTATACAAAGCCGTATTAACAATCTGGCAGCTTGATCATGAGGCTAAAACGGCAAAAATTTATTGTTTTACAAGGGAATGTTACAAACTACTCCACGCCAATTACAAAACGAGTTATACCGTTGGAAAGAACGTTAAAAAGTAGTCTAGAATCAACTTTTTTTAGCTGCCGAAACCATGTGGCACGGCAGCTACACCTCGTTATATATACTTATATGTTTAAAAGGTATACCTTTAAAGTCCAAAAAATACTATTTTTTGCTAAATATTTTTTTCTAAAAGTGACTAAAAGCAAAAAATAAGACTTAAAAAATATTTGTTTAACCAAAATATTGTTTGGCTAGCCAAAACTTCTTGTCATGATGGCTGGGCCCAAAATGAAATCGACGGGATTCGAACTCCCCGCCTTTTGCACCCCAGACTAACTTGTTAACCACTCGACCACACTGGATCGAAGCTTCAATCCATTTGTTTTGCTCAAGACGAATGAGAAGAGTCAAATAGAAAACCCTATGTAAATCCTTTGATCGCTAATATATGCCGTGCCATATAGTTTCGGCAGCTAAAAAAAGCTGATTCTAAGCTAATTTTTAACGCTCTTTATAACGGTATAACTCGTTTTATAATTGGCGTGGAGTAGTTTGTAACACTCCCTTGTTAGGTCCTTTTTACTTAGTTATACAAACTTTTAAACCAAATTAGTACATTTTTTTTGTTATTTTTACCCTTTCTATTAACTTTTTGGCCTAGATATAGCTCAAAAACATATCTTTCTCTTCGACATTTAATAATATTTAAAAATATATTACCTAATATACAAAACCCAACTCACCACTTCATAAGCTCCATCGACAAACATGGCAAATCTGTAGAAGAAGAGCTCCGTTGTTGCCCCAAGAGTTTCCATATGTTTGCACAACTTGAGCAACTTGGGCGATCCACTAATTTGTTCGCTTGACATCATATCCAGCATAGATACCATCGATTCTTCCCATTTCTTCACGTCTTCTTTTGCTCCAATGTTCGACAATGTTTTCGTTGAGGTGGATTTGCGTTTCTTTGTATCAACAATAGGTTCGGTCACATCTTTCAGGAGTTGCCAGCATAAGGGGAAGTAGTCAGCCACAGCAGCTGACATGATCTGGACTGGGTTTTCTGAGGAGTCCTAAAAGAATTAAAGTAATATCGTTTGTTTCGGCCACAAAACATTAAAAACATGCCAAATATCAATACATTTAAAGGTATAGTACTCTCTAAAATTTTTCAAAATCCACCCCTTTCAAACAAAAATCCCCACCTTCTTCTCCATGTAATAATAAGCCCGTTCGACTTCCAAATCCAGCATATTGCAACCGTCTTTCTTCGCCTCAGTTAGGTATGGTAATACAGTATGAGTCATATCGTTTTCTCTAGCTAGCCTTGAGCTTTGTACCAATAACTTTGTCAGTCCTTCTTTGACCTCACCCTCAATATCTGGTCTTGACAATGATCGCAAAATATTTCGTCGATTTCTGAGGATTGGCTCCAAATCACGAGGAGTTTGGCGTACCAACTTGTCGCGCTTGTTCCACACGTTTAGAATGTCTTTGATTGTTCTTGCTTGACCTAAAATTTTAATTTAAGCAATTTTTTCAATAATTTTGTCCAAAACAAAACATTTATAAAAAAGAATATAAAATTTGTACGTTTTTTAAATTTTTTGTTACTTAAATTCATTTTTAGGTATCAAATCGTAGTTTTATGAATCGAAATCCTAATTTAAAAAATTATAAAATGTTCTTACTTCCAGCCGACTCCGCAATCTGCAATTCCACGATGCTTTCCTCGGTCTGATTCAACCCTACATCTCCCCATATACTGCTCATGTTATCACTCAATTCAGGCACAGCACACTTCAAATCCTCCAACGTATGCAGATTCTGAACGAACTCGTATCCCACAATGTAAGGCCTCGTGTTATCAACTCCTTGCTGTCCCAGCGTCTTCATCAAGTATACCTGTATCAACTTCAGATGTTTCTTGGCCTCTTCAAACTTTTTCCGTCTACACTTCTCCAGAATTACAGCCAAATCACTTAAAAATGTGTGTTGAACTGGAGAATCGTATACTGGGTCATAGTCATCGTAAGGTGTCCATGTGGTAAGGGCTTCTAATACCTCCATTCTGTCATCATAATCATTGTAACAACGTTTGGCATTGTCTTTAATGTCATCGTTATGGTATTTTAGCATCAATTCCCAACGATCTAACTTGTCTTCTATTAGGTCTAGTGAAGATGACTTATGTTCACATACGGACGGCTCCTATAAAGTGTTGTAAACAATCATAATCATAAAATTGTTATAAAAATGTATTAGAAGAATCAAATTGTATGCCATTTTAAATCTTTTTGAGCAAAAACATGTCAAAAATCCCAAGTATTAACCCAGTAAACTGTAAAATGTCATTTTAAAAATTAATTTCCAATACTACAATACGACTTACCGTCTTTTTACTCCCAGCCTCCTGTTCACCATTAGATGTTTCATTTCCAATCAGTAATGAAGACGGACTTCCTTCAATAACAACTTCATTATCTACTACAATTTCAGATGGTTCTAGATTCTCTTTGAACATCATTTCAGTGTCATCATCATACAGAGAGTTATCCATTCGTTTTGTTGTTGATAACCTTGGCTTTTTGGTCGATACTGCATCGTTTTCTAGCCCTAATCGCTTTCGGGTTTCAGAGAGGGCTGAAATTAGGTAGGTATACACATATATACAGAATGATCAAACAAATATCAAAAAATTAAATTTTTTCAAAATATACCACCATATCCATCCAAAACACTTAAAATGCCTTATCAATGTACAAGTTCTCAAGTTTTACTAAACCTACCATCATTGCCATGTTTCCCATCGCCATTGCCTTCAAGTTTAGGTAAATCTCGTTTAGATTCATCATCTGAATCCTCAATATCGCTGACAAATGCCAGAATTTCACTTTCTGAAACTTTTGAAGTTATCGTTTGTGACAAATCATCATTTTCTAATCTAATCGTCTCTGATTTCTTATTTCTAGAGTCAACAGCCTTGATCCCATAATCTGGTCTTACATCAACTTCGGCAATTCTTGGCGTCAGTTCTTCTATAGATTCTAAGACTAAAATAATCATATTTATATTATAATATAACTGAATAAAAAGTTCAAAGAAAAACATCTTTATAAATAGAACTAAAAAGTCACCGCGAATTTTACACAACTTACCAGGATCAGTTTCGATCAAGTCCCATTTGCCTAATTCAACAGCTGCTTGACATTTAGCTTGGTATACATCGGGATAATCTCGTTTTAAGAGTCGTTGTTCTTCTTTTGTGAAGCTGCATTCAATAAAGTATAAAACAAGTTGTGGTTGATTAAAAACTTGAAGAAATTGCACCATAAACTCCTGAAAATATTGTTTTAGATCAATTTTTCAAAAAAGCATGCCAAAATCCGATAAAAGTGCTAAAACGCACCCTATTTTCGTTCGAAATCATTGGCAGAATCTCATGAAAATCGCCTCTGGCATAAGCACACTTGATGACCTGTAGATCCGTCGGCTTATCATGCTTCATAATCATTTCGAAGGCGCCTTCGTTGTTCTCGACCTCCTGAAGATTGAAGTTCAAACTCTGGACTAGACTGTAGATACTTCTGTTGTACTTGGGCATTCCTCGGTGATCTCTTGCAATCGCATATTGTTCTAGAACTCGTTGAGCTCGATAGAAGTTGTCACAGCATTCGGCCGCGTAGACTGAAGCTGGCATCGCGTCTAAAGGGTCCTGTCGGAACTTAAGGCTATCTTCCACAAATGAGGCTATGTTTAGACGACCTTCTTTTAATTTCATTAACTTCTTGTCCTTTTCCTTCAAGATAACTCTGTATAACTCATCAAAGATCGAGAATATTGTCTGACAACTCTCGTTAATGTCTGCTCTTGTTTCTTCTGATCGCTTTTTGGATGCCACAAAGACTGATGTGGCTTCTTTTGTCATCAAAGCTGTTACTTTGGAAGCTGGAAACTCGATACAACATTGAAGGATGACGATGGGCAAGAACTCTTCGTACAAAAATGGCATTTCTTCGCCGGAAAAGCACTTTGAAAGGGAGTCCAACATTGTGAATGGCACGGTTTTTAACTAAAATCATGCTATTATTGATAATAATCAACTTTTTAGATAATTGAAGACAATATTCTTCATTTATCTAATAACAACCAATGCAATTTTACCTAAAAAATGGCCAAAATGTCTAAACAATATAAAAAGCTATATATATAATAAATTTACCATAACTCATCATAGCCCTACCTCTTTCGTCAACACCCTGAACCACTGTACCAACCACATGGAATGATTCTTAATACTACCTTTATGAGCATCTCCACTGATTGGCACCTCATAGTAACCGGCTACACTTCTGGCAACAATCGTAGCCGTCTCATATGGTCCCAACTCTGGCATTTCCTCTCTCACAACCCCGTACTTGCTACCGTATGCTTTCAACTCTGCACAGAGGTACTGTAAACACAATGCTGCCATATCGGACTGACCTCCAGATGGGGCTTCAATGTGCCATCTGAAGGTATCCTTCACAAATCGTCGTACAAACTCAACCTCGTCCAATGTCAAACAGATCAAACTCTTTGGGCTTTCGTCTTTCCATGCTACAGTATCCATGAGTTGGCGAGGGTCTACTGCTGTGATTCGACCAATAAAGGTAGCCAAGGTGGAGAGTTCGAGAATAGTATTAGCTTGCTTGGCTAGTTCAAACACTCTGTCCAAGAGCTTGGCCATTACGCTTTTATCAGAGTAATCGACCAGTAATTGTTGAGATATGATGGGTAAGATGAATGGGGTTAAATGGACGTTGTTTTCCATGGCTTTTAGAGCAACTTAAAAATTTATTTAAAATTTTTCAAAAATAAAAAACCCAGATAAATTAAATTTTTTCAAAAGCCTATTTTACAGACCACTCCTACCCCCTCTACAATTCTTATAATTCCGCTAGCAAAGTTACCATAAACTCAAACTAATAAAAATATAAAATACACTTTCAACTTTTCACTTACTTTCAGCAACATTTGTGTTAACTCGACCACTATTAGGAATACCGAAGATGGCTGAATATAGTAACCTGATTTCAGTACGTTCTGATTCATACCTATTCCTAAAAAGATGCGATAAAAATAATGCTCAAAAAGTGGTATAAGTTCAAAAAAAATGTCATATATTCTACCTCTCATAACATTACACTAGTCAGTGCTTATTTTACCCATTATATTAAGTCGTTCAAACAATTCTGTGCCCCATAACCCCGCAAATTTGTTTTGAGAAAAGTACAGAATAATTTGAAAAACCTAATAATCTACTAAGTCATAAATAACATACGTTATCTTCTTCCGATCCAATTCCTTGAGATAAGTATGTGCCAAATCTTTAAACTCAGAAACTTGAAGAAAGTAAAACAATAGTTTATAGCGCATTTGAATCAGATTCTTCATGTCCAACTTGGTGATTAGAACCTTCCAAACAGCCCCAAAGTGTTCGTTGGGCGAGTTTAATATCCATAAAGTGTGACAGATCTTGGCAACGTACTGTAATTTAGCTTATTAGAGTAACATAATGCCTTTATAATATAGCTTGTTGTAGCTTTACTCAAAGTATAGTAACTATAAGCGACAAAAAAAGACTTTTGATCATCAGAATCAGATTTGCCTTGATCTCAAACCATCAAAGTAAAATGACAAAAAAAATCAAATCTCAAAAAAAATGTCAAACCCTACCGTATTAACCGTGACCGAGCTGATTTCCTTAACGAACACTGCCAAACCCATGGCAATCTCCTTCTTCCTCTGTCCAAAGTAAGGTTGTTCTATCATATATTGTCGTAGATCGATCATAAGTCCCAGAAACTGATTTTTGACCAATTCACTCCAATCTACATACTTTGCACTTGCTATTCGCTTCAACATTTTCAGTGAAACATCCCTGTTCGTGCCAAGGTGGAATATACATACTAACATCGATTGGAAAGTGTTCCTTTTGACATAGTGCTCCAAAGAATGCCCAGTAAAATGATAAACAGCGGATGTCAACTGATCTTCTGGTATGACACTTCTGTTCAACATAAAATAATCAAAAATGAACGCCAGATTCTTTCCAAAATAATCCTCTAAAGTTGTCATTGCATCCACATGACTTTCAATGAAGTGCATTATCTTTGCTTTATAGGTAGCAAAATATTTGCTAAAGAAGATGCGAGGCAGTATAAAGCATGAGTACTTGATGAAGAATCTGCAAATTAAGTGTGCCTTTAAGATTTTAGATATTAAAAGCGCACTTTTCGCTTTTAACCGCATTTTTAGACAAAATGACTTCAAAATACCTTTCTAAATTTCAGTAACTTAAAAATTTTTAAGTTTAAAAATTCAAAAAATATTCTTTTAGTAATAAATTACGTATTTCACTTGAAAATCTTACAACTTCAAAGTATCGTTCCGAATCTGAGTTTCTGAAGCCATTGAAGAATGTTCGACACAGCCGGCTGTCAATAAGTTAGCCATATTGCTTAGATAATTGATTGCCGCATCAATTCTATACTCGGAAAACTGAAAATATTACCATTCAGTCTTAAAACACCAACACTGAACCCAAAACTTTAATAATTAATACCTAAAATAAAATACATCAAAAACCCTCTTAAAATCTGGAGAAATCCCGGTTTCCGCGATCAATCTTACCGATCCAGCCAAGATTTTGTAGTCAATCATTCCGAAAATCTGGTCAAAGTATCGTTGACCAAAATACGAAATATGACATGTCAAATTGTCAGCCAAGAACTGTGCAGAAGTATACTTCAATATATTGACAAAGAGAGGTGATAACTTGTCGAATATCACCTGTCTATCAATTCCAAATTCAGATTCGTACTTTGGAGATAAAATATAGCCAGAGACAATGAAAATCCAGCCACAAACCTCTTTTAGAGATTGGAGATCCAGAATTCGGCTAAAATAAAGTAAGATAAGCTCTTTAGAAGACCAACACCTAGCATAAAACGTTATAATTTTTAGCAAAACATATTTTATACCTAATTAACTTTTAAAATAATAAAAATGTTAAAAGAAAAGCATACAGACCAATAACACTCTTATTTTCACCGTCTCAATCACTAATAGTCAATGTACCACAATATATTGCATTAACGCCAAGGTAAAAACGTACTTGTATATTCCACCAAGCATTATTGCAAAGTTTTCCCATTCTTTGTAAGTATCCAACACTGGAAAAATGTGTTCTGGGTTTGTAGAGAAAGGAATCAAGTCTTTCAATGGACTTGCCTCATAGATCAGTTGGTACAAGTTCTTGCTGAAGATAATTAAGATCAATACAGATTTCGACTTCTAAACAATTCTATAATTTAGGTATAAAAAACTCTGTTTTCCTTGTTTAAACATCAAGAAAAGCTCAATTCACAATATTAACGTTAAAAAACAACTGCAGAAGATTCGTAAAAAGCTAACTAAAAACAGAAAAAAAACATAAAACACATACCTTTGCTCATGGTCTAAAGGTACAACCCTGTCTGGAGTAATATAAGTATTTTCTTTTGCTTTTTCGAGATTACATTTTAAACTCGAATATAACTCATTGTTATCTAAACTTGATTGTGCTACAACTCTGGGAATCGAAACTGGCTGAACTTCATTTGAAGGCTTTCGAGCACGGTAGTTATTTGTAAAACTTTCATCCATAAATGCTGTGAAATTCGGTTCATTTGGATGGTCTGAGTTCATTTGACTAAAACAAGATATAATAATATTGAAATTAAAATAGCAAGAATTTCCTTGATTTTACGTAACTTTTACAATTTTAGGTATAAGAAAACCATGGTCAAATAACTTTGAGGTAATCAATTCTAAAAATAATGTTTTAATAAAATAATTTCATAACTTCTTCCCTATATTACAATATTAGTCTTAATATATTTAAAAAATTGTATTAAAACAACAAAAATCAGTTCGACAAAATTTTGTTTTTAATTTTTATCGTGAAACCCCTTTATTTTTTATTTTTTTCGGAATTTCCGACAAAAACATTTGAACCGACTTTTCGCGGAAAAAATCTTCGGAAGCGGCTCGCGCCCAATTTTTATTGTTTCTTATATTATACTTGCAAGCGCTTTGTAACCGGGGTTCAATTTCATATTTTCTACTAGAATTGTGATTGAAAGGTAAGATCTTCACTAAATCTATGTTTTCTTATTTTTTGGTATTTGTTGAATTTTATATTGTCCACAAAACCAAGCTTTCGTTAAAACTTTTGTATTTATTATTTCAGAAAACCCGAAAAATAACAAAATAATGGGAAAATAGACAATAATGTAAGTTAATTTTTATAATTATTAGACATACATGGTTTTATAGCAAATAACTTTAATTATGGCAACGTATATTTGAATATTGTTGTACTTGGTCTATTACTATTGGGAAAACATAAGATTAAGCTTGAAATTACAGCTTAAAAATTAGCTTAAATTGAAGGTAAATTAAATGTAGAGAAACAAATTGTGAAAATTGGCATAGGTTGTGAGTTTTAATTATTAAAGATCGTCAAAAGCCGTGTTTTACTTTTCACACCGTGCAATTTTTAGAGTGCACCGTGCAAAATGAGTGGTAACTTTTGAAATTGTTTACAAAATAGCAATGTGTAAAGACTAGAAGCTGTTTGAGACTTGTGGCTTTACTGCAAGTTACAGATTTACTTGTTTTACAGTAAAAGAAACTGTAGAAATGATCAAAAACCATCAAATTTAGGTAAAAAAAAGTAAATTTCAAAGATAATATCAAAGTGATGTGTTTGTACATTAATAAAACTTGGTTTTTCTGTACCGACTTTCGACTGGTTGAGACCTTCGTCTAGCCTTCGAAGGACTGTCATCTCTTCCACTGCTCGGCAAAGCTCCACTACTTATAGCACGGTATGTAAGGCTTGTCATTTCAATAACATGTTGATGTGATGGAGATCGATTTCTGTATGGAATCGGGTGTCCTGGACTAGTGCATCTGCTGGAGGAGCCAGATCTGTCCATCGATGCTATTGGCGCATGAATGGGGCTGTTTGAGTGGGGTGTGATGGGCTGGGAGGCAGGAGGAGGGGTGTTTGTGAAGAGAGCGGCGATGGAACGGTGGTGTCTAGGACGGTACTGAAAGCTGTAGTTGGATTAATGGTAATTACTCTTAAGCGGATTCTTAATTAAAAGTGCGGTTGGTGCTGTTTTTTGTTTTTGGTGCGTTTGTGGGGTTAGTGTTGTTATTGTGCATAAGGTCAAGAGCCAAGTTAAACCTTGAAAAAAAAGTTAAAGGTTAGATCGTAAAGTTAACGTTTTTAGATTGAGCCTACCCAGTGCGTGTAACATAAACACCAAAAAATGCTTACCTCGTTCTGTTTGTCTAGGTATCTTCCACTTATCAGTGCTTCAGCTACTCTAATATCCTCTTTCTGTTGCTCCCTCAACATCATTTGTTCATTTCGATTCAAAACCAACGAGTTGCCACTCTCCACGTTCTCATCTACATCCTCATCCATATATGGGTATGGCAGACTTTGTTGATGACTGAAAGCTCGTCGTTGGACTGGTTCAGAAGGCGGAGAATGCCGATCTCGATTGATCGAGTTTTGACGAAGTTGCTCCGTGGCCTGATCAAGATCAAGGATTGGAGAGGCGGATCGTTGAGTTTGAGGAGTGGAGAATGTTTGGAAAGGGTGAGGTGGATGAACCTGGTGAGGAGGGTGTACTGTGGAGTGTTTGTTCATTTCGTGCATGGGACAACGGCCTGGTATACGGTTCTTGGGGTCACGGTTCTGTTCGAAGCCTGCTCGGAGCTGAAATGAAAGTTTATATGGTATTACTAGAGTGATCTCAGCAATTATGTATTTCATCTTTATCATGACTAATAGTAAAAAACTTGGAGTAAAAAGTATAGTAAAGGTCATTATATCATCATATCGGTTTAAAAATTGATATTTTGTCTAGTATAATATTGAAAAATATTTTTTCTTTACCTGGTCCACCAAGCAAGCAGTCAGCACCACCCATGCTTGTCCAGCACCAGGCAGGTCTCGTACTGCGTCTTGTACTAACACAACATCGATGATCGTCTCTCCTAGTTTCTCCCAAATGCTAGCTACAAAGCCATATGGTCGTAGAACAGCGTGAGCACGTCCAATTAGTACTGGATCGTACTCACTTCGAGTATCTGTTCGTTTTTTGTCATCAGTATCCAGGTTTTTGATTACTGCGTCAATCATTTTTACTGTGAAACGAGCGTGATCTCGAGGGGTGGCTACTTCATGTTTTGACATGGCTGATAAGAAGGCGCGGGTGGTGAACATCTCTTTCATTATTGGCACTACTCTCATTAGACGGTCGTACACCTATAATATAAGGTTTGAAGTATGGTTTGGTAGGGGTAGGGCTGAGTAGGGTAGGGTAGCATACGGTAAGGCAATTAAAATAGAGTAAGGTACGGAAGGGTAGGATATGGTATGGTAGAACATCTTTGTATATAATATGGTAAGCTTACGTCTTCAAAGACAAGGTCTACTCTTTTTCCACCGTTCCTTGTCTGTAGCCGATGCCACGTGAATCTGAGGGCTCTTTTCTGTAGTTTCGACAACTTGAGGTCGTAATTGTAATGTCGTATTCTTTCTAGGGAGGTTTCTGAAGTCAAAATTGTTCTTTATGTTACAGTATGATTTAAAAAATTTTTTCAATGTAAGTTATCAGTTTGTTCAAATAATCCAGTGCCCTCTTTCAAAGAAAACTTACGAAGTTAGGGGCACAGAGTTACCTGAACAACCTAATATATCAATCGGCTTTTAGTATAACAGACTATAACACTTACTGTGCATGGCATCCACAACTGAAGGCATGCTACTGGTTCTGCGCATTCGTTGAGCTAGTTCATGATTCGAATCCGTGACCAAAGACGTGTCTGTCTTTTGTCGCAATGCTTTCCTAAAACAACAGCGATTAGTTAATGTAAAAATGGCTTACTTGAACTATGGACTAGCTTATTCTATTGCTTATGTTTTTATAGTTACCTAAATTCTATATTTTGTTGACTTCTATAGAGTGTACTAATATAAACCAAGTGTACGTCAAGTAATATTATAGTTGATATATAAAATATCTTATGAGTTATCAATTAGAAGTTTATACTTGACAGCACGCTTCTTTACACTGGTTATGCCATTACAAACTTGTAGTATATCATAGTACTGTTTGTAAACGTGACCAAATACGCAATAGTATCATACTATTTGTATTGTTCTTGAAGAGGTTTTGTTTACCAAGTATAATATAATATAATTGACTACAAAATGTGTGTTTTGTACTGTTTCATTAAACACTACTTTTTTTTACAATTTTATATAATTTTTAATAATACATAATTGTTCGTTCTAAGCATATGTTAATATCTAAAACTAATGCTAAATTATTTTTGTGGTAAAACAAGCGGTCGATGTAAAAAAGAAATCCTTGACTATGTATTAGGTTGTATAAAAAGTAATGAGCTACTGCAGTGAATATTACTATAAGAGATATAGCTCATTACTTTTTATACGTTTTGATACCAAAAGGTAAATCAAAAGTAAAAACTTAAAACCTCTTATTCATATCCGACAGCGACCTTGATACGTTAAGCCAAGTGTTTTGTGGCATTTTTGGCGTATTTCAAGTAATATTAAAGAATTAGAAAAGTAATTGGGTTTGTAGTATTATTAGTACTGTTTTATGTCTTAGCACCATATGTAACAGCTAGTACTTAAATAATGAAGTTTCTGCTACTATGAGTACTCTTATATGTCTAGCAGTGCATGTAATAGCTAGCACTCAAAAATTAAGCTTTAAACTGTGATTAAACCTTCAAAGTTAGGCATAATAGTACAAGTTGAACTCAATTAGTACTGATAGTTTTAATCTTAGTCTAATAACCATACAAATTCGATAATAAGATTATAAAGACAATAGTTATTAGTAAGAACAAATTACTAGGTAATATCAATTACTTTGTTCAAATACTAGTGTTAATGTCTAGTTATCTAGATTAATGTCTAGTTACCACAGTAAAATATATTAATTCGGAAGTGGTGTAAACAAAGTAAGCTCGTCGCTTATGAGACGATGGGAACGCATGGTAAATTAAATGGAATTACTCAGTAAATTTAAATTACTATGAGGTTAACAGGAGTTATTCCGGAAGTAGACAAACTGTGGTCAGTTAGCCTTATATACATACACGTTTATTTTGAACTTTTAACTATTTTAAAATAATATATTTTGAAAAAATTGTATTTTATAAAACACGCCATTCTTTTTGCATCAAAAAATAAATTTTGTAATTTTTTAATATCGGAAACAAGGATTCGTGTAAAATACGCTTCTGAATGATGCTAGTCTTAAAAATTTTGAAATTCTTAAAATCATATTTTTTAAAACTTACAACAAAGTATACTGTAACAAAAAATGGCACTTAATCCAAGAATTTCTTGAATTTTGCTTGCAAATCTTGACTACCTGCACTTATAGTCTATGATATGTTCTTTGCGCTCTTAAGCTGATTATCCAAAGGTTATAGCACAGATTATGTAAAGTAGCTTGCGTTTACAACATTGCTGACATATGTAAATAAAATATTGTCTGATAAGTTTCTAGGGATTTTTAAAAGTTTTAATGTTTCAAAATTATGTTTGGTAGCCTACCTACAGCCATGGCCCTAGCTCAGAGCCCAGAGCCTTATCCCGAAGCCTTAGCCCTAGTGCTAGCTTCGGCCCTAGTTTTGATTCTAGCTATAGCTTTAGCCATAGCCCCAGCTAAAGCCTTAGTTTTAATTACTCTTTGCGTCAGCGTTACTATACGTTATATGATATAGTACTAAAGAGCCCAAAGCACATTATTTTATCAATACGGAAACCAACTTTATATAATATTAAAGTAAATTGATATAACAAACGATACGATGTAGCCAGTAAAACCTACATGTATCCATCAAACCAATGTTGTTGTACAACTTCGACCGGTTCCGGGACGGTCAATAATTCTACTTTTTGCATTTTATATATCACGTACTATAGTTTAATACAACAACAAACGTACCTAAACAACAATGGGTTAAAATTGATAAGAGATTGTTAAAACACGTAAAAGGTAATAAATGATAAAACGGGGTACTAGTACTCAAAAATATAGTATTAGTACTATATTTTTACAAATTTCCGAAAAAGTGATTTTTTAGTACTTGATAGTATTAGGTTGTGCAAATAATTTTGTGCTCTTCTTAAAGCAAATTTTTGGTGTTAGCGGGCACAGAATTATTTGAACAACCTAATACCATCTTTTCAGTAGTATGAGAGCTAATAGTACCTGATTGAGACCGTGTAGAAGGAATAAAAAACATAATTTACTCTCTCAACCTATATTATACTATGAACATAGGCTAAACAAAAAAGACGTATCCTATGATGACAAAACGTTCCCTTGAACCCATTCTATATTGTATGTATTATACAGTAACAAAACACGCGTTCTCGTCTTTCTCAAGTAATGACGCAAATACAACTCTTTCCTACATATCATGTTGTAATGTGTAACATAACATGTTTTACTTTTTTAAAATGAACATTAAAAAACTATTTTTTTATTTTTTAAAAATGATAATTTGAAAAAAAAGATGTTATACTGCCCAAAAGTTTCAAAAACGTATATTTTTGGACCTGAAAGTTTACATTTCTAAAGCAAATGTAAATGTTTACATTTCGTATTTACACAACATGTTTACACAAAAGTGTTTTAATGTAATCCACAAATAAATTGCAATGTTCTGTAAGGTGGTATGTGTGAATAGAAAATATCAGAGATAAAGGTAGAGATGATCGGATTAATCATTAATTAAGATTTTAGTTAATTTAGTTAGACATTGGCTCAGAGATCAGTTTATACATATGAAAGTGATTTAACTAACATGAATATCTGAATATTGGGACACCTTGCTTATAATGGCACTTTGTTTCAGTCTTTTGAGTTTCATACTAAAGAGACTGTATTACAAAATCGAACAAAATTGTAAAAACGTCCTACTCAACAAATTTTTTTTTAAAAAAGCAAAAAATAAACAAAAAAAATTTGGCTTCTTATCTATGGCAAACTCATTCTTAATACAAAATAATATTCCACAAAAGAAAATAACATCAAAAAATTTATATTATACTGCCCTTTTAAACCCAAAAAAGAGTGAAAACTATGTTCATTTATGTCCTTAACTTATGGCCATTAAAAACAAAAAACAATACTTTCCATGAACTCATTAACCCCCTCCCTTGTTTGCCACTCTACAAAACAATAAAGCATAGACCAACTCTTCAAAATGACCTTTCAAAAATCAAAAAAAAAGAATTTAAAAATACTGTAATTGCGGGTCCTGCTGTTCCATAGTAATAATAACAACGTATTTTGCCACAGGAACATTTAACATAATAAGACGGCCAAATTGACTTTTCAAGGCCGCCTCTTCAAGGATATTATTTTAGAGTTGACGCAAGAGAACGCTGCTAACAACAAAATGGGATTACAGAGGTGCTGCGGAGAAGAATGTAAATGCCCTCCTTAAAGAGTATTTTCACGGTAACCCAGTTACTGCTACAACATTTTTCAAAGTGTTTGGGACGAGAATAGAATCGCGCGGGTACGAAGAGAGGTGCAATATAACTGTGAGAGTAAGGACTAGTGTTCAGTACAATGAAAATACCTAAAGGTACTAACAAGGGAATGTTACAAACTGCCCATTCAATTTTTAAAAGTGAATGGTACCATGTGAAAGAGCGTAAAAAGTTGACTAGAAATCTATTTTCAAAAACTGCTAATTTTGCCTTACAAGCCCGCTAGCGAGATTTTAAAATCATTAGTGAAAGAGTCTTATAAGTTGTTATTCTTTCTTTTGGATTCTTGTATTTTTAAAAACCTTTGTTTTTACTTTTTTATGTTTTATTAGTTAATGTAGGAAGCCATTATCAACAAAAAAAATTTTTTTTGAATATTTTTAAATTAATTAACTTTTAAATAAAAAAGAATACCAATCATTTACCCAAAAAGAGAATCGAACCTAAAGTCCATTGATTGCGCAATCACGGCGCCTTTGACCACTCGGCCATTCGAACACATTTACTTCCCCTTTTTGAAAGAAGGCAAAAGAAAGCGGGTTTAAAAAATCCGTTTTAATAGTAAAAATTTGAAAAGCTCGCTAGCGGGCTTGTAAAGCAAAATTAGCAGTTTTTGAAAATAGATTTCTAGTCAACTTTTTACGCTCTTTCACATGGTACCATTCATTTTTAAAAAGCGAATGGGCAGTTTGTAACATTCCCTTGTAAGTATAATAAAAAAATTCTTTTTTGCACTTAAAAGTCTTGCTGTAATCACCAAAAATACTTTTTGTTAATGCTACCTATACCTAGAAGAGGATTCTAGGTCTAGGCCGGCTCCGGGATGGGCTGGACAAGGTTTGCACACAGGGTACCACAAAATTAAGCCCGGTCCCTTTACACGGTTAGTGTTATCTATATCAATGGTCCTTCCTGGCATTTGAGCTTGGACTTGCTACAAAATTTTAATTTTAAATTTGAATACAGTGCAACGCCTGTATCCATTGTACTTCTAAGTACGTATTATGTTGTTCAAATAATTACGTGCCTCCTAACTCAGAAAATTGTTTTGAGAGGAAGCAAAGAATTACTTGAGCAACGTAGTATCTCAACTAAACTGCAGTAACATAAGCAAAGCGAAACATGTATGCCGTGTACATACGTCTTTGTTTAACACAATATTAAACTGTTTTAGGCACGAAAGAAGTTCAACTTCTTTAGTTTAATGTTCTAGTTTTGCTTTTGAATTTAAAACACAAAAAGTTACTTCAAAAAATCCAATTTACAATAAACTTATAGTATATATATTCACCTTTATAGTCAGCAATACTATCAAACAAAAGTTGTACTGATTAACTTCAAAAGCGCTCGGTAAAAAACCACCTATTGCAGTAGAAAATAAACGATATTCCGTAAGGTTTCTTATAACAAGAGCTACTTTAACATTATTTTAGGCCTAGGATTACACTTAGATAACTTTGTGTCCAATGTAAAACACTCTAACGTCAGAGAAAAGCAAACACTAAAGTTCATTTACCCTTTTATACTGTCTACTAAGTCTACTAATAGATCTACTATGTAAAAATTACTTCCTCAAGCTACCTTTGGTATTTGGTCAAATTATATGATGATATATCAATGTAATATCATAAAGGCAAGGTTATAAACAAGATAAATTATTTATCATTGGCTAGAATGATTAAATTTGTGTTTACTCAGCTATAACCGTGACTTTACACAACCTTTTTCGACTAAAGACATCCTGTTTGGTCTAGTTGGTGATAACTTACTGATGTAAATTCATTTTTGTTTAAATGAAGCAGTTGAGTTTGGTATAGGTAAAAGTATTTAATAAGTAAAAGTAAAGTGAAATGAAGTTAGGAGTTAGGTATAGGCCATAAGGCTATTCAAAATTTAGTTTTAATATCAAAAATGCCCTTAGCGTGACTTTCAAACTCAGAAATAATCTTTTCAAGCAGTCCTTAACTAAAAAAGCCACTTAAAAGTTGTTGTTTATATACCTAACTCCAAAATGATCTAGAGTATGTTTAATTGTGTCATTTTGCAAAGTCTATAACAAGAAAAGGTAAAACCTTGCAAAAATATAAATTCCTTCCTTAATAGCTCTACTGACACCTATTTCAAAGCCGCTTTACCTTAATGGCCTCAAAAATAGCAGAAATATTCTTTAATAGCTTGACCCATAGGCTATAATATGTCAATATAACTTATGCAAAAAGCCGTAATACGCTAATATAACCCTATCCATGTGTTTGGACAAGTAAAATTGACAAATATCATCCATAATTACCTTACAAACCAAGTAAAAAACTTATTTTTCATCTCAAAAGCTTCACTTTACTACACCTTTGAGTGTAATTACTACCAATGCACTCGGAATGTTATCATGCCTTGAGGAATTGATGATTTTTGGCTGTATAACGGAAGCATGGCTATTATGACAATAGTAAACATACTTATGATGATAAACTACAACAATATGACCAAAGAGTAGCTGACTTCAAAAGAGCGCCATTCTTTTCGCATCAAATATAAAATGCGCCATTCTTTTCGCATCGACCATAAAACTCGCCATTCTTTTTGTATTTAGTTTAAAATGCGCCATTATTTTTGCATCAATTTTTAAACGCGCCATTCATTTCACATCAGCTTTAAAAATTAAAAAAATGCAAAATTTGAAATTTCAAAATAAATTTACAAAAAAAGCTTACATTTCCAACCACGCACTAGCACTCTACAGACGTCTATGTCGAAAAAGATAACTTTATCGGATATTCTTGCCTCCTAAAGTGAGTAACCCTGAGCAGCCTGTTTCCTTAAGAGAGTAATCAGATGAGAACACTTGAGAAGTCAAGTTCCTCAACACAAACTCGTCCTAAACGAACCATCCTGGCACGTTGAGTTGTTTTGCCGGATACATACGATACCCAACTTTACTTTTCTTAAAATATATACTTCTGGGTGTGATTGGAAGACCTTTACTGCAGTCTAGACTGGAGATGTACTTCTTACTGTTTATAACTAAAGTTGCAACAACGAAAGACAAAATGATTCGCTAGAACTTGGATATAGTCAATTAAACCAGGGGTAGGGGTGGGGGGGGAGGAAGAAGAGGGAGGCTCTCACAATTCTCACCCCTGGCTGGGTGGGGTGATTTTAATCTATGAAGAAGGGAGAGAAGTAAGAAATTACTTATCATAAAAGCTGGCAATTTTAAAATTTAATTTTAAAAAAAGCAAGTTTAAATTTTAAAAATGCAGGATGAGAACAAGAAGCAAAAATTTAAGACCTCATAAAGTCAAAAAAATTCAAAATTTACAAATTCTTGAATTGAATGGAAGTAAATCTACCTTTTTAAAACTTCCACCCCTAATCTTACAAAATCGTTAAGACCACCAAAATCTTCAGATATCCGGAAGTTATTAATAAATATTCAAGACAGGAAGACACTTAAATGTTATACAGTAATCTAATTTTAAGCATCATAGTGCCAAAATCTAAATATTCTTACTTTTGTAACACCTGTGAACCTTAAAAACAAAATTTCATAAGAATATAAAATACGAATAAAAATAAATTTTTGAAAGCTTATAAGCCTTTTAAACTCAAAATCATATTTAATTTCGTAAAGCCTAAATACATGTTTTTTAAAATATATTTTTAAAGTCTATAAGCCTCACCAAAATAAAAATTAGATTCCAGAACCGCAGCCTCGAAATGTAATCATTCTATGCATGCGTCTTTCCGGCTCTTAAAACAACAACTTCAACTAAATAAAACAACAAAAACATAATCAGACAATTGTACGTGTCACAAACATGATGTTATCTTAATCGCTTAATTGGGATGATAATATTATGCAAAATTTAAATATTTTTGGAAAAGGATAGACGAAAGCTAGGTGTTGGGATGGGCGGGTGACTGTGAGGTGGAAAAAAAAGGGGTAGAGGTTTAAAAAGAGAAGAGATTTAAACATATATTTCTAACAATAAGAAAGGAGGGTATAAAATATCTTATTGTTACTAGTACTTGTAGTATCTTTCAATAAAACACCAAAAAATTCAAAAAACGTTTTTTTTTGTGAAAAAGTCCTCGTCCAAACTAATAAGCACTGTCTAAGTAAAAAACATTAAAAATAAAAAAAAAAGTTCTAAATGTACATTAAGTAATCTCTATATGATCTTAATCATTCCCAATCTCAACATCTCCCCCTCAAACCCTCCCCAAATTTAAACCCTCCGCTTCAAAAACCTCAAAAACTTTGTTTACACCCAAGCACGACACTAAAGACCATGCCTCGCCTCTCAATGGAAAGTCGATATCTTAGTTGATTAAATACGCCCTCAGGGCATAAAAATCTGGTACTCCTCGTGATTCGAGAGTTGTAAACTCCATTTACTCGGAAAATAAATAAATTTGCGTAAGGACGTTAAACTTGGCCAAATTGGACCAAATTTCGGGAAAAAACGACAAAAATAGAGACATTCGGGAAATTGTAAATCAAAAAACATGGTGTGGGTGGAAGTGTACACTATATTTGACATTTTGGAGTAATTCAAAACACTTTTTTATTTTTTATTCTTAATGCCTAACAAGGGAAGTACACCAGATACCCTACCCTATTTAGAAAATGTAATGTATGATTAGAAAAGGCATGGAAATCTGATCTAAAATCAACTATTTTCTAGCTGCAAACCCTCTTAAAAATAGGTATAGCTTTAAAATTATTGCAACCCCACTTTTCATCAAAAGCCGATAGTTAAAGAGAAGAGACGTTTATTCTAATTTTCTCGCCAAGAAGATAATGCATCCAAAAAAAATTGATTCTAGGTCGGATTTTACGCTTTTTCGAATGGTTTAACTTATTTTTAAGTTAGGATAAGGGTATTTTGTAAAAAACGCAAAAAGAAGTAAAAAAAACCTGCACAGTGCAGCCTTTAAATCTGCTGCACAGTGCAAATTTTCAAAAACAAAACCGTACTGTGAGCCTTTTCCCAGAATTTTTAAATCAAAAGATGTAATAAACAAGATTTGAGAATTGATTCAAAATACACTCCGCCATTTTACATTGTTATGCCTCTTTAATTACCATAAATTTGCTGCTTAGAGTACATGTTCGAGAGTAAGTATGTCTGGCTATAAAAAAAAAGTAAGTGGATAGAGGGATGTCATTGACAGTTGCTACTTATTGTTCTTTCTTTGTTTATTCATTTATTATAAAATTTTATTAACTAAATTTGAATACTCCTTTAATATAGGTATGATACTATAAAAATGTCATTTTATACTGTCATATCTTTAAAAATTTTAAATGTTTTTAAAATTTTAAAAACTTTGTGCCGAAAAGAAAGTAGTACTCTGTGTAGTGTAAAGTGCAATCTACTACAATATCAACCATAATATAAACATAAAACTATCAAAAAAGTAACACTATAGTTTTTCAAAGCATAACGTATAAAGCAGTGTCTAATACCAAAAAGTAAAAAAACCAAGTAAACCATAAAAAACTGAACTTACGAGTTATACATGACATTCTTCAAATAATACTCTCGTCGCACTCGCTTCTTAGGCTTATTTTTCTTGAACGATCGACTAATACAAACGCTGGACAGATCCATAGCTAACGGTAGTGTGCACGGTGAAGTCAGGCGTCTACTGAGTTTAATCCACGCTTCTTCCATTGACAACGACCATCTACTCGACTGTTGACGTGCTCTTTGTAGCATAGGTAACATCTCGGTAGATGAATGTTTGGGATTACTGTAGAGAGAAGGCTTGGTATCGTACAATGACTTTGAAGTATCGTAGGATTTACGTTTTGTGTATGATACTGTGTTGGTACAGTATGGTAGAGCCTTCGTGGCACAGTATGATGTCCTTTTAGTAGTATCGTACAAGGAACTTTTTGTAGTACCGTACTCTCCTCCTTTAGTACTACTGTAAGTTCCACCCTTACTAATACCGTAAGCCACTTCTCTACCGTACCCTTCAGAAGTCTTGATTCTAGTATCGTACGACCCCCTCTTTGCACCGTTCGCCTTCACCGTCCTGTTGTAGAAGTCGTCGTCCAAGGAAACGCCTTTGCGTAGCGATACCGTAGACACACTGGCGGGGAACGAGTGAATCATACGCCGATGTGGCGCCTTCTGATGTGCAAGATGTGTGAACGAGTGCTGATACCATCTGCGAAAACAAAGGTGAAACTAATTAGAAAACGGATTAGCACAAGTGCAATGTTTGATTAAGATGTTGTAGACACAACAACATCAGTCTACGGTTATAACAAACATCATTGTGTACGTAGTTTAGGCATCGCTTGTAAGGGGTGGTAGGGTAGAAGGAAGCAAAATAGTCATTCTTTTCTTAAAAAATTTTGAAGTTTTCCCCTCCGGTTTAGAAAATAAAAACAATAGCGACGCCTTGTTACGTACTACAGAAGAATAACAACACAGCATACATTGTTCCATAACACCGACCCAAAAAATATTGAAGTACAAAGACAATACCATAACATGCACTATATTACACAGACATACACAAAGCAAACACAGTTCACTCTCTGATACTAAGCCATTATAGTAAACTCTATTTCATAACATACTATTTAACATCTTTTCTTTTATTTTTTGCAAATTACTTTAGTATTTTCTATATGTACCCCCAGTACTAAAAAGAATTTTAGAGTATGCAAAAGTTTTAAAACTGCCATTTATATAAGCGCCCTACCCTTACTACCTTCCTATATCTTTTCAAGCTCATAAGTACTCAAAACGTTATAAACTAAAAATATATCACAGCACACTCACAGATCGGCAGATCCAGCCTTCCGCAGCACCGTGTCCAGCATCATTGAATGGCTAGCTCGTGCAATACTGTTCCTTCTTTTCCAATTCTGCTCCTTTCTCGAGTTGCGAAGGCTTTGCACAGCACGTTGAGCATCTGCACTTGCCCAGGTTCTGTTAAAAAAGCAGTGAAATCAAGCGACTAACTTATGGTAACACCACAGCATTTTCAAAGACTACTACAGGTAACAATACATAGTGAAAAAAGCGGTAAAAATGTGAGGTAAAGTAATTTAACAGGTACAGTAAGGTAAGTGAGTGCAAACTGAGAAAGCAACAAAGTAAAAACAATGAATGGTAGCCAATTTATTTTAATTTTTTTGTAATTTTTATGCAATTGTACAGTACTTTTGGTTTTAAATGTATCTATATTATATTAAAAATGCAGTAGCGTCATAGCCAAAATAAAATAAAACAGCCGTTTCTCCATCCCATAATTTAAAACCAATTTGAATGTTTAAACATTTATAGAAGCACATTTAGAAAACTAATCCGCCTCTAACACTTGGTTGTTCAAATAATTCTGTGTCCCTTCTTCAAAGCAAATGTTTGAGTTAGAAGTCACAGAGTTATTAGATTTGAACAAATTCATATCTACAAAAACATTCTTTTCCCCAGATCGGATCGTTCAAATTATTCTGCCCCCCTCCCCTCCGCAAAATTATCTTTGAAATAAGGCACAGAATTAGTTGAACAACCTAATACATTTACCTACCACTAAGACAATATTAGGTTTTGGGATAGTACAATAGGTATTAAAAACAAAAAAACCAGGGCTTCAATCATATTATTGTCGTATCAGTTAAATTGGTCAATTTTTGGGCGTGTTTCAAGTTTTTAAAACTATACTGTCAAAACGGTAAGTTATTTACTTATCTAGCGATTTTCAAAAGGTAGTTTAGTGCAATGCACTATCAGAGACTGCTCTTTGACTTACTTTCGCCTCCGCAGTTTTGGTTCTTTGTCGTTTTCCTGAAATTTTGAAATAAATTTTAAAAATTAGTCTTTTGACTACTTAATCATCAAAAAATATTTATAAATAATGTAAAATACGAACTTGTCAGTAACGATAGTAAAATTCTAAAACCTATACCTAATACACCAACACTTACCCCACTGGTCGACGCCTTGTTCTCGTTGTTCTCCACCAACATGACACTTTTCTTTTTGGCATCTGAATCCTCTTTGCTTGTGCCAGTCCTTCTGTGATGTGTGAATCCGGTAATCTTTTCGTTTTTTGAGTTTGAGCTGCTACCGGTCGATGCTGTCGAATCTTCTCGAATCGACTTTCTCTGGGCTTCTAGTCGGTCTCTTTCTCTTTCTTTTTCCTTTTCTTTCTCGGCTTGTTCAAGTTCGTGAAGGAGGCGACGACCTCGCACTATCTTGGCTATCAGGAACATGGTTTAGGAAGTTGATATTCACAATGATTGAAGTTATTGCCTAAATTAAACAATTTGTTGAAAGATTCAGTTTTATATTTGATGCAAAAAGAATGGCGCGTTTTACAGTTGATGCAAAAAGAATGGCGCATTTTACAGTTGATGCAAAAAGAATGGCGCATTTTACAGTTGATACAAAAAGAATGGCGCATCTTACAGTTGATGCAAAAAGAATAGCGCAAACTGAAATCGATGCAAAAAGAATGGCGCGTTTTACAGTTGATGCAAAAAGAACGGCGCGAACAGACAAAAACAAAGACATATCAACAATCAATACGACAAGACATGTTACCGAAGATAAAGTAGTAAACACTGCGAAGACAAGTATCAGTTTACATCTACTGGCCCTGCCACTTTGGCCAAGACATGTACCTTCAACATACATATTCGATGCTCTTCCTTGTGTTTCGTATAAAGAAAGTAAGAAAAAATATGGCAAAAAATGTCGTAAAAAAATGGTAAAATACGGTTACTGAAAATTTTTTATTTTTAGCAAATACTGTAAGTTACATAGTAATTAATACTGCTTTACTGTGTAAAAAATAATTGAAAAAACATTAGAATTATAAAATTCGGACTAATTCACAAAAAATGACCGATTTGAAAAAAATATTAAAATTGCGCCATTCGTTTTGCACCAACTATGAAACGCACCATTCTTTTCGCATCAACTATGAAATGCGCCATTCTTTTTGCATCAAAAATAGTTTTTTATTTCTAATGTGAAATACGTCCTGCTTTGCAGTTTATAGAAAATACAAAACATAACCCTTCCCAAAACCCTTCAAAAGTTACAAAACATAACCCTACAAAACATAACCCTTCCCAAAACCCTTCAAAAAGGTTACAGTACTCGCGATGAGTTGATGTTTGCCCAAATAAAATCATCCAATGGCTTTTAATTTCCCGAAGTAACTTTTGCAAGATTTATGACAAAAAAGGCAAAACTTTTTCAAGTTTGCGTTTTCAAAAAAAATTTGAAACGAAATTCGATCCAAAAAAAAGAAAAATAAAAGTTCCGCTGGGTTCGAACCGCATAAGTTTGTTGGACCACGTGAGTTCAATTCGAATATTTTATGAATAAATTGGAAAAAAAGTTAAAAAAGTGGTATAATATGACAGGAAGAGTGAGGTTTGCGTAGGAAAGAAGTTTGAATTTGAACTTTTTTGTTACAGTATGAGAAAAAAGAGATAAACTTACAAAAACGCTCTGAAAATGGCCTCCAAGGTTTCAATACAAGATTTTTATATGAATTCTTTGTATTAATAATGGAACTGAAAAAAAAAACTTTAGATCGCGCTTTTGAAATTTAAATATTTGAGCCATTCGCTAATTTAGAAAATTTGGCATTGTGTTTCAAGCACTTTCTGACGTTCCAAATGAAGCACGTTTTAAACTTTAAAAATGTAGGTCTATTTAAGGTTTTTTACTAGTATATCAAAAAATGGCAAAATTATAAGCTTGAAACACAATGCCAATTTGGCGGAAAATTCAAAACGTTTTTTTTTACCTCAACTTTTCGGGCACCGTGCTTGTAATCTTTTAGGCCTATTTTTCCTATTTTTTCACCCCACTTGCCTATGCTTCTCTATGCCCACCAGGGGCGGGCAGGGACTTTTGGTCTGGGGGCGGGGGTCAAAAAAAATCAGCACAGGTATCTCTGTCGCTTTTTTCGCAAAAATTTTTTCCTAAAATTCACAGGGTAAACCACGTTCAACTTTTTTCAAATTTTTTTTTCTGGGGGGGGGGGGGGGGAACTCCGGCGTTGATGCCCACTCTGTTTAAAAATTATCTATTAAAAAATACAATTTAAAAAAAAATTTTTTTAGTTGATTTTTAGAGTTAAAAAAAAATCATTAACAACAGTTTAAAAACCAAAAATCCGTTCCAAAACCCTGGTTAAAACATAAAACCCTAATTAAACTGCAGATTGTTTCTATTTGTTTATACTGCCAAGTAAATTTATGAGATTGTTGTTGTTCTAATTGGTCTTTATTCACCTTATACTCAGCACGTAGTAGATAAATAAAGGTTTAGAACAAAGCGTAAACTAATAATCAGTTTTCAACATTTGCCAACAAGTAAGACTTTATTCATACATCATTTTTAAGATTTGTAAAAATTGTTTTGGTTCAAAAACAATGACGCGTTTTATAGTTGATGCGAAAAGAATAGCGTATCTCATAGTTGATGCAAAACGAATGACGCATTTTATAAAAGTTTCCGTTCTACTTTTTTATACAAAAATGTCAAAATCAAATAAAAAACAACGTATAAAATACGAAAAAACCAATAATCATTCACCAACTTTGCAATTCGCAGCCCTCGATAACACTGTCCCGAGGTATTAGCGAGTGTTGACGTGAAAACAAAGAGCTTTAGATGTAGAATATTTGTCTGTGATAATGATTTATGCACTTGAATTCAGGGAAGACAATCTCTCGTGCGGACAGTGCATAAATAATGGCATATGGTTATAAACGATCAAAATACGTGCCAATGGTAAGGTAAAATAAGGTGCTCGAAAGAACACTGTAAAATATATTAAGGTAGTCTTATGTTTTAAGATAACTGACTTTATAGCCAACAACGAACTCTCCAACATCCCCTAGTCTAACAAGAAAATCTTACCAAAACTTTGTTTACAAACCACAATTTAAAAATGACATCACTATTGATAGGCCTAAGGCGTCAATTAAGAAAAACAATTTTTAAAACTTTTAAAATCACAAATAACAAAAAAATAATTTTAAAAAATTTTTAAATTTTAAAAATGCCAAAAAACGGACAAAACAATAAATATGCAAATGAATTGAAGAAAAAGTAAAATTTTATTTAGGTTTTGTCCACCTACATCGCCCGCGGCAATCACCTTCAATTAGGTATTTGGCCTCAAAGCAAACGGCCCAAAAGTGACTTGGGAAAAGGCTGAAAGAAAAAGAGTAAGGAAGCCATTAACGGTCTAATCAGTCCGTCATAACTACAAGAAACTATTAGGCTTATTTTCGGGTATTATTGGAAGTTTTTTGGGTTTGGAGGAAATTCTTAATGAAAAATTATAAGATTGTATCATAACACAACGCCAATTTGACAGGAAATTTAAAACAACATTTTGATCTCGGTTTTCTCAGAATTTCCTATAAAGCGCAATTTAGTAGTTTGCTGAAGATCTCATATTTACATAATATTTCTTACATAAAAAGCTTGAAGTCAATCAAAACGGGGCAGGCCAGGCACTTTCCTTGTTATTAAAGATACAAATGTAAAATACGAATTTGTCTGTTTTTTAAACTTTAAAAAATTAAATTAAAAAAAAGGAAAACCGAAAAATTTTAAAACATTTAACAAATGGTAAAACACAACTTCCTCAAACACCTAAAAAGTCAAAACAATTTACGAAAGCTTTAAATTAATCAAAAAATATGTGAAAGTAGATTTTCGGCCAAAGGTACAGCTTACAAATTAGTCACGCTCCTACAAAATACTATAATATTTGAGCCTAATCTTACAAGTGCACTTTTTTAATACTGTTATTTCACATCTCCAGACTTTATACGTCTCATAGGATAGAGCGTTATGAATCCTTCAATTTTCAATTTTTAAAACAAAATTTAATCACCCCCGCTCAGTGCCAAGTTCACATGTTACCACCCCCACTCAATGCCACATTAATATCATCTACTTTATGGAATTCTCCCCCGAGCTCGTTTTCACAATTTAAAGACTCGAAACTTGTTGTCTCCTCATTTTGGTTACTTAGCATCACAGAAAGCGTCGCTCGTCTCAAGACAATATAAATATTTTATACCGTTGCTGATTCTGAATATGTTTTCTTTCGTGCAAAACTTGACTGACATCACGTTAACATAAAGACAAACATTTGAATGTTTTGGGCGTCGTATAATTTACATTTGATATTTGGGTTGCATATAAAAGTTTAACATAAGATTACTGGTTTATTGAGTAAAAAGTGCATGATATTTTAAAATCTTAGTATGTTTAATAATTTAATTTAACTTCAAACATCATCTCTAACTAGTGACAGGTTGCTACCATCGTTCTTCTTCTAACATTTATTGTGACGGACAGAACGGCACGGCGTTTACATTACAGTGCGGCATCGGTAATTGCTGCTTTTCCATTTTTTCTGATTTTGCGATGAATGGTTTGGCGTTTACATTCATATATGGCTTGACAAAGTTGTCGTCTAAATTTATCCTTGATGTTGAAGCCTGACCACACCAGTCTGAAACTGTAGACCATGTCGGGTAGCTATCTATGATAGCTTCTGTTGAGCATTGTGACGCCCTACCACTTGACGGACTCTCATACGCGGAGTTAGTTGGGCTGGCCCCCCTTGAGTAGCTGACCGCATTTATAGGGGAGCCTACGTAAGCCAGTTTATAACCTGCCTTTATATAGCTGGCAATGATGGCTTGGTTTTAGAATTCAGTTGGCTGGATGTTTAAGTAATGGGAATCCATCTTCTCGGATTGGACGAACGCTTCAGTTCGGCCAAACATGTTAAATTTTAAAATAATTTTAAAATTAGAACGTAACGTAAACCTGAAATTAAAGAAACCAGTAATTGTGCTAGTAAACTAATATAAAATTTGTATTTTTTACTATGTTAAGAGTAACTTTAAAATATCAAAAAAAAATATACAAAAAATTAGTGAACACAAAAATACTATATAAAGCATACGAACTATGAAGCATAAACCTAGAAGTAAAAAAACAAGCCACGTACCTTAATAGAGCTATTGGGTTGAGTGACTGAAAGGTATACGAGCGACCCATTTATATTTACAGCATTAAATCAGTAGAAAACTTTGGCCACGCTATACAAAAGCGTAGACAAAAGCGGGTTGTGACTTTTTTGAAACTACACTCGACCCACTTGAACCCCCTTTAGTAGGAAATCTCTTTATAATAACTTTAACCGCTTATCGTAAGTACTATCACAAATTGCTTGGTTAGTGTGACATTTTGGTTATATAGTTGAACCGCAACCGTATTGTCGCGGCTATATTCCAAGTTTAGATTAGCCCCTCGAGTGTCATACCAGATGTTTGGCTGTATGTTACTGTCATAATTTTACAAGATTGACTTTCATGGCTTTTGTTTTGTAAATTTGAGAAGTTAATATGTAATAGTGTTTTTATGGTAAGCTTATCAATGCCACCAGGTTTGTAGTTTCATAGTTTAAATTTGAATATTTTGGTACAATATTGTAAATGTGAACTTAAGCTTTTTGGTGAATGTAACGTCACATACAGTCGATTTGTTTTAAAGCCGAAGATACTCAACATACTTTCAGTCTATACTTAAATTCTGTGTTTTTACAGTATTATTCTTGATGTTATACTGTTTACCTTCTCACTTAACACCTCAAAACTGTTTGCCAATCACTTCTGTCATTTCACAACCCAGACAAAGCGGTATGACATTTCAAACCGGCCCTTTCAAACGTTATCAGTCCGAAAGATAACAAACTCACTGTGAACTGTCTTAATCCACAAATCGCCCCATTCATCATTGTCCGAGCCATATAAACAAATCAAAATGTTTTTTGGTTTTGTTTTTGAAGCCATTCGCCGTGAGCTGCCTGAGGCATTCAACAGATAAATCTTAATAAATTATGTTTGGATGGCGGAAGAAGACGGTAAGCGTAGTTTCAAAGTTTCATTTTGCTTTGAATGCGGTACTATTGAACTCATTGTTTGTGTAGGAGTGATTTACAAGTTTTATAATTGATTTGAGGAGGTTTATGACTTGCTTTAGTTGATCAAAAGTTGTGTTTAATCACTTAAAGGGATGATTTAAACTTATATTAGGTATAACGGTAGCTTGTACTCGATTTAAAAAGACATTTAGCCTTATTTTAGAGCTCAAATCTATTACGTAGCATGTTTTGTAATCTTGCAAATTGACGAACATTTTTAGAATACTCACAAAGTATCGAATATAAGCAACAAACTACCGAATACTCGCAAATCATCGTCGATTCCAAACAGTCACAAGTCGTCGGTTATCAGTAACAGCTACAAATCATCCCTTACCGGTCACACAACTCCAATCACAATGCCGGTGGCACATCGAAAGAAATCGATCCAAAAGAATCACAACAAGAGTACGATGGGTATGTTAATACACGTAAATTTGAAAACTAAATTGTTAAAATACGGTTAAACTGTCGATGTTATTATACATAGGGTGTCTTAAGGCTTTGGAAGAAAGTAAAAAGTTGTTTCTCGAAAATTATTGGATCAAATATAAATATTAGGTCGTTCAAATAATTCTGGGCCCCGAATTCCAAAAAATTTCTTGGATAGAGGGCACAGAAGTATACTAACAACCTAATAATTCATAGTCAATAAACACTGTCAGCACTTTCTCTGATCTTTGATATCTCTTTAGTCTGCACCTTCTTATACCAGTTGTCATCGTACTCCTACATTGCACTTTAATGTACCTTACCGTTTTTCCTATGCTTATGTCTTAAACATCTACACCAAGTCTTAAATCAAAAACACTGTGACAATTAGAATCGTTTTCTATTTTCCGATCTGTCAGGTCATACCCATAGACTGGAGATGGATTAGAACGACCTTTCTCAGCCTTATCATGTTTTTATTTTTGATACTGACACCGGAACTCACTTGTTTTTGCTTGTTTGCTACGTTTTGGCGTGTCAGTCGGTTAAAAAGTGTACAATGTTGGTAGCTACTCACTGCAAAAGACAAGGTAAGTCGATTTACCGTGGTTTTGCGTTTTTTTACTTTGTTATGTTACGAATGGGTTATAAGTTGCAAACATGTTTTTTGGTATGATTTTAAGCCCTATTGACGATAGTTTTATATTCTTTATTGTAGTTGTATTAAACATAGTATACATAAATGAAAAACTTGTGAAGAGAGCGCTTCGTAATTTACATTTTACACAGTCCAAAGCACTTTTTTTCATTGTATCTTAAAATACATATTTAAAAAGATTAAAAACACAATAAAATATACAGTGAAACCTCTTCAGTATAACCCTCAATAGTTCGACACCTTAATTTGTAATGATAGCTTTTTTGACCGCTTTTTGTAATTGAACTCATGTCGAAATTAGCTGGACAGTTTGACACCCTGGTCAGAAAGACAAGTTTGGACCAGTCTCTTGAAATTTTTCAACCGAATTCGAACTTTTTTTGAATTTTAACTTTTTCAAATTCTCGTGTCTTTTGACTAAAATTAGACATAACCATGAAATCCTGAATATATATACTACTTTCTATTCTTTACAAAAATGTTATAATTAGTTATTGTTTTAGGCTATTCTTATAGAATAAACATCTTGTTAGTCGCGATGTGTTACTGACCAAAAAAAAACGTTTTTTTACAAAAAAAATCTATTGATAAACTTATTGTCAACAAAAATCTTAAGCTTTAATGCCTTCTTTATAAGAAAATTTCGTTTTTACTAAAGTTAGATCAAATGAAAGTAATAACAAGAATTTTCCTATTGACTTTTGCTCAAAAAACCCTTGGAAAGTTTGTAAAACCCTGATTTTGATAAATTTATTTGTAATTCGATGAAATCTTTTGAAATCCCACTCAAACCCTTTTCATCAACTCGGCCATTTGTTTTTGATTCTTCTTTTTTCGCCTCAAATTCCAAAAAAGGCCAGAGGGGAGTGCGCAGCGGTAGCGCAGCGCGGGGGAACTTAGCTCGTGGCAGAAATGTCGCGGGTTCGAAACACTGTTGATCGGTTTGTGATTAACCTGGTGATATTGTATTCACTTGTCTTCTATAAGTAGCGTAATTTATTGTAGCTCTTATTTATTGCTTTGTAAGACACCGCTTCCCCGAATCGTCCGCAAGGGCGGTTCAAAAAACTATTTTTTGGTGGGTTTTGGGGGTGTTTTTGAATTTTATTTTGTTTTTGATTTTATGGTCTGTTTTGAAGTTTTCTTTGTAAAAACATGTTGGTTTACTCTTAATTTTTAAATTTAGCATAAAGCTGATAAATACAGCCAGTTTTAAAAAACTTTTTTTAATACCTACTGAACCTAGTACAATATTCATTTTAGACATGTTTTTTGTTATTTCTAAAGCTTACTAGTTAATGAAAAAGCATATTATATAATGGTAGGTCAAGTACAGACGTCCTTCTATAGACTAGGAAGTCATTAAAATTTAGCAAAGATCTCTTTTTCATAATAAGTACGTCTGCCATCTTCTATTTACTTACTCATAACGACGTTTCGTAGACATAACATAAAACACTTAATATTTGCGGATTCTCAGTACTATTATTATTCCGTTGTCTCTATAGTATAAAGATTTATATAAGGAGAAACTATATGTATAATTACCATTGTTTGAGGTTAATAACTTTAGCTTACTTAAGCTTTACCCTGCTTCAATCAACCATAAGTTTTCTCTTGAACTAAACTGATTCTACTTTACTCTGTCTTATTGTTTTGTTACTTTATCTTTTTTAAAGGTAGACTAGAGCTCTGGGCTAGGGCTCTGGGCTAGGGCTCTGGGCTAGGGCTCTGGTCTAGGGCTCTGGGCTAGGGCTCTGGGCTAGGGGTCTAGGCTTGAGCTTTGGGCTAGAATTCTGGTCTAGATCTCTGGGTTAGGGCTCTGGGCTAGGGCTCTGGGCTAGGTCTCTGGGTTAGGGCTCTGGGCTAGAGCTCTAGACTAAAGCTAAGACAATGTATATTATATTACATAGGTTATATACCTTCCTTCAACAGCATATTTTACTCTTTTAGCTTGACTATTTGCTGCGCAAATGTGACCCGTTACATTGTTTACACTCCCTTGATTACGTATAACATTTAATCCCATAAAATCGCAATAACAAAGAAGTGTCTATGACGTATGACCTCACGTTTCGCTTCGACGTTTTTGCAATTCATATTCTGTTTGTTTCAAAGATTTCTTCGTTTTGCGATCGTCGGATGTTCGTGTGGGATTCGGAGGTGTATAATATAGGGATCTTTAACCTACCATTCAATTGGGGAGGGGGGGGAGGGGTAAGAAAGAGTAAGGAGGGAGAGGAAGGGTTTTTTTCAAATTAACTTTTGGTTGTTAAAATCAATTTTTTACGGATTACAGTAAAGTGTTTACAATGTCGTACGCTGTAAACTAATGTTTGGTTCGTATGTTCAATTTTTACAAAATATCACTTGCAAAACTCTCAAAGTAGGAATTTTCTGTTATTTTGTGCTACAAACAAGTGTTATTTACAATTTTTGTTTTTATGGCCGATACCATGAATTGAGAATATTTATAGTACTGGTAATTAAAAGGTTTGGTTAGGTTGTTATTGATGGTTAGGAAATCTAATTATAAGTTGTTTTGCTTGATTTTAAGATTTTGATTTTGTATTGGGTGTGCAATATGTTTAAAATACGAATAGACGACATTTTTTTTGCATCAACTACAAAACGCGTCATTCTTTTTGCAGCAAACTTAAAATGCGCTATTCTTTTTGCATCAACAATAAAACGCGCCAGTCTTTTTGCATCAATTAAGAAATGCGCCATTCTTTTTGCATCATTATTAAAATGTTGCTGTTTTTGTATATTATCCATTTTTAGACATAGTGCTAAAAATATTTACCAAAAAGTTGAAATTCCTCCTAAAAATAGTAAATTCCGGTCGACTTTACATAATCAAAAAGCCTGTAGCCTTGTGAGTCGAGGGAATTTGAATGCGAATCCTTATCACAAGTGCTGATTACAAGAGGAAATGATATATGCAAAGCACTTTTTGTTTACTCTTATTTCATTCGAATACGCTTGCGTTTTATAACATGTATTTAAGGCGAGGGCAGGGTGGGGGACTCGTTTTTATGCTTTATATTGGCGATTTTTTGGATGAATTTTTGATATTTTGTGGTAAATTGTTGTACAATGAAGACTTTTTGGTATGACTATTGATGGTATGATAAGCTCTTTATAAGGATAGATGATCGCCTTTTGTAATACAACTATTTACTATCAAAAATTACCTGTATAATCTGACGCTCTTCTTATAATGGTACCTTGGTTCAATCTCTCGAGTGTCATACTAAAGAGGTTTCGCTGTATATATAAAGTTAGGTTATGGTATGGTACATACAGGGATGGCTATGTTGGGTGCAATTTTGGCTTGGAGAGTTTGGATTAAAAATATTTTTCATTTTTTAGAGAGAGGGTGATTTTTGTGGTTTTTAAAAGTAGTAGCACTTATTATTGAGATAATTTACGTGGGTTAGGGGCACAGAATTATCTGAACAACTTAATAACTCAGCTCAGTAGCACTAATCTCAAGTACAATTTCTCTTCCACTCCACCCTCAAAATTAAAAAACCCTTTGGCCAAAAAGAGTATTCAACTCATTCTTATAAATATTGCTCCGAACGATGAGAACGTCAGAGAAAAAGCCTATATCTTTCGAGTGCCGTAGGCAAAAAAAGTATGACACACGAGGAATTCGGGTTTTTAAAAGAGAAGTATACTCTTTTAGGTCTACGTGCATGTCAAAATGGGTTTTGTGGTTTAAAAAACATTGTTTATATAGTGGCATTGTACTTTTAAAAAAGTTTGTGCATAACGTGGTTTTACTTGTTATAGTTTAGTTGTTATTGTGGTTTCTATGGACAATGTATAATAAGAAGTACCAACCTATTTTACAATTTTAAAACTTCGATTTTTTTTTAAATTTAAATAGTAATTTTTATAATATTTGGTAGATCTATGATAATACATTTTTATGTCAAAAATCATATTTTTAAAAGTTTTCAGACAACATTTAAAGAATTTGGTTTGACGTATTTTAAAGTTGTTTTCAACGAGTTCAACAGCTGTTCTGACGTATTGAACTACTTAAAACGCTATATTAGTTTTGATTCAAATCAGTTGTCATTGTGAGGTTGTCATCAATGTCTTTAAAGTTGTCTTTTCAAATTTTAAAGTTTAACTTAAAAATTTTAAAAAATCTTTTTGAGAGAAAAGGGGGGGGAGGGTGTCATACCTAGAATTTATTATAACAATTTACTACACTTTTCTTTCCACATTTACCTTACTCTTCCTTACTCTTTCCTACCCTTTCTTACTCTAATTTACCTTCCTCTTCAACTCCCCTCCCCCCCCTCCCACTCTCCTCCTCATTTCCCGTTTTCAGACGACATATTAAATACCTACACAATAAAGCCCTTCAGATTCCCGATATTATTGTTGTGATAAAATGTAGTCAACCAAAAAGGACATAACTTCAAAGCACTACGTAGACTTCCGTTGTCAAAACATTATTTGTTATGACAGGGCTTTGTTGTGTTAAGAGGAAGTTGTTCTCGTACTTAGTCGACGTATACGAAAGCCGAGATAATTGTTGATCGACTAGACAAAACTTTCATTTTTTTGAAATGGGGGGGTTATGTAAAATAATGAGGAGTAGATGGTAGTGTGTCAAAATAATGGGCATATGG